TAGCATAATGGCTATGTCTCTGGACTCCCATGTAGTCAACTACGGTTCAAGGCCCAGACCCAGTGGTTAAACTCAGGCTGGGCGCGTGTGCGTGGGTGCCCAAGACCCCGAGAGGAGAATGCAGAAGAAGGGATTGCAGCGTGGCCATCCCTCCTGGAGGGTGATTTCTCGCTTTCTGTTTCTCTGTCTTTCTCTGTCTTCCTGGCGAGCGCACGTGCCCTATAGCAAAGCCTCTCCAAAAAAAAAAAAAAAAAGAAAAAAATCCAAAAAAAAAAAAAAAAGAAAGAAAAGAAAATACAAAGATCTGTCACCCTGTTAGCAATGATGAGCTGAAGTTCTGTGGTATCTGTTGCAAACATGGGGCTTGCTCTCAAGGATGTCAAAGTCCCTATCTGACCTTTTTACAAAACTAGTCAGGGCACCTATATGCATTTGAGTTTGTAATTGCTGATGTATATCCTTACAAAACTCTTCCATAGCATCATGGGTGGTAGGAGCACTGCCTACTAGCTTCTCTTTTTCATTATGTCTGTGCCAAGATACACAACTCTACCATTGTATTCCTCTGTATGACTATATTATGGCATTCAGAAGCAATGTCTTCCCAATGCATATTTCGGTCAACTCCATTCATTTTCCATTGCAAACAACAAAACAGAGAATTTTTATGTATGAACTGTTTTCAATAAGCTAATGGAAAATCTATATTATGAGAAAACTATGCACAGACTTCACCCTTTTTTGCACCAAAATAAATCTGTACTTTAATTCCATTTTTCCGTGAACTTTTTGAAGTACCCTTGCATACTCATCTTTGCATATTTTGTGAGTATTATTTTTGGATGTGCTTCTATATGTAGAATTACTGAGTGAGAGGGAACGCACACTTAAACTTTTGATAAATAATGCCAAACTGCTGGAGTTGGTTTGGAATCCATGGCATGGTTGGCCCCAAGCGTGGGTCAAGGAGTAGAGGAGATTGGATAGTGGCATGGAGAGACATTTTCCATTGCAAACAACAAAACAGAGAATTTTTATGTATGAACTGTTTTCAATAAGCTATGGAAAATCTATATTATGAGAAAACTATGCACAGACTTCACCCTTTTTTGCACCAAAATAAATCTGTACTTTAATTCCATTTTTCCGTGAACTTTTTGAAGTACCCTTGCATACTCATCTTTGCATATTTTGTGAGTATTATTTTTGGATGTGCTTCTATATGTAGAATTACTGAGTGAGAGGGAACGCACACTTAAACTTTTGATAAATAATGCCAAACTGCTGGAGTTGGTTTGGAATCCATGGCATGGTTGGCCCCAAGCGTGGGTCAAGGAGTAGAGGAGATTGGATAGTGGCATGGAGAGATGAACAGCCCACCTTTGGGCTCTCTTCTTTGGCAACCATATTCTTATACTCCTAGATTGCCCACAGTTGATTGACACCATGGTAATGTGTCAATGCAGGAACCAGACCTAGAAGGACAAATATATTTTAGAATTCCAGTTGGAAAGTTAATTCACAGTCCTAAATTGGACATGAAAATAAAATGATGTATTTCGAGATGTCTTTATAGGATTCTCCATTTGTTATTAAAAACCAAAGGCATTTTTATCCAAACATATTGACTAGCCTTTACTTAGCGTTAGCATTTCTCATCGTTTCATCTCAAAAAGAAATTTTTTCCTATACTCATTCCCCTCCTATTTTAGGCTTATTTCCCTTTCTGTTTCTTGGAGACTAATCTCTTGTTACTGTGAGAAGGCTCCTTATATTTCTAAGATTTTAAACTTTCCTGAATGGACAAAACATAACCTCTCTAAACTTATTCTGTTTTGTCATATGTAAGATGTGGGTAATAACAGGGTGAGAGTTCTTTGTGCAGACTTGGCACACAATAATGTTGATTGTTATTATTTATTCCAGTATAATAGCCAGCCCCCACCACCTCATAAGTTCTACAGGGCACTGCAATACCCATGACCACATGAGCCTCTTGGCAGCTGCTTAGTAAGCTGACAATGAGGCAATGGCCAATCAGAATGAATAACTGCTTCAGGAAAAGAAGCCAGGAGTTGGGCTCAGTTTTAAACTGTACTTTAGATGCAACAAGATAGATAATAAGAGGCCTGGTAAGAGGATAATGCTGACCTTTACTGCGCACTTGCTCTGTGTCACACTCTTTGAAGCATTTTACAAGCATCCTCTCAGTGTATGCTCACAATAATCCCATGGGGTAAGTGCTATTATTACCATCTCTTTTTTACAGAGGAGACAACTAAGTAGAGTGTTTAACTTGCTCTAGGTCACATTCTTATTTAATAAGACGGCACAGGCCATCTGACTCCCGAGCTCATGCTCTTAACCACTATAATAAGTAAAAAAAAAAAAAAAAAAAGCAATGTTGAGAAGAGAGAAACTACAGCTAAGACAAAAAGAAGAATTCGCATATTGTCAGCTATCTCTTGAGCACCTTCTGTGCACTATACATTCTTCTAAGTGCTACCCACCCCTATTAGGAAATGTATTTCTTATGTCAAGCCAGAGAAGTACAGATCACTGATCACATTTTCATGGATGGGGCTTAGAGCTAATGTACACATGGGATCACCTGACAGGCTCTTCTGACAGGGCTGAGTTTCAAAGCATGTCTCCAGATTCCAAGTTTCAAGCTTTCTTCCTAGGAATGTGGTAAGAATTCCAAACACCAATGAGTCATCCTCATCACTCAATAAATTATGAAACACTTACTTGAGTAAAACACAAATGAACAACCCAGATTTAGTTCCTGCACCATGGGCACACTGTGTAGAAGACAGTCTATTTACAAGGGCAAATGAGTAAATTACATAGGATATTGTATGATTAATATATTATTAGCACCATCCCAGGGCCCTGAGAAAAATGCCTAATTGAATTGAAAAATGTTATTTACAGTCAGTTATAGAAAAATAGTTTTAATTCTTAAAAATTAGCAGAGACATTTGTTTATGTGTTTAATATCATTCTAGAAGACCCACCAATGAAAGGAGACATTAATCAGAGCGTTTGGGGAATTACTGAGTTTTGCAACTTTCCCACCTGTGTGATCGAAAGTACAAGATTGTGGTTACCCAATAGCTTAGGCAAATTTTCAGCTTTCGTTCAGACTTGCCCAGAGTTTAATAAGAATTAAGGTTGCTTCCTGCCAACGGTTTTGAATCAAAACATTTATTGATTTAATCAGAAAGGAAACAGTAAAGGAAAAGGAATAACACCAGCTAAAAGGGAATTAGCTTATTACAGTTTCTCTTCTTCTTCTTTTTGTAAAATGCAGTATCTTTTATGGATTGAAATATACCTAAGTAGTTTTAGAGTATTCAATATATTTTCTTGAGATAGCTATTTTATCAATTGTAATGCTACTAAGTTGCAAATGGCTTAGTAAATCTGTAATGATTTAAGCTAGTTCATTATTTTTTTTAATTATACTAGTTATATATGTTTTTTTAGAATAATTACAAATACACATAAGCAAAATAAAAAATAAATATAAGTCAATAAGCCCAACAATGAGCAATAACTATAGATAACATTTTAGCATGCATTCGTCTAATGTCAATATTATATAGTTATCATTTTTAAATAACTTGGACTTATAATTTGTAAATATCTATATTCAATTAATTGTGAATGTCCTTTATGCCATTATGTTATTAAATATACATTTCCATATCAATTTTAATAATTCCAGAGTGCATGTGGGCATGTATGTGTGTGTTATCTCACTATCTGTTTACCTATTCCCCTCTTGTTGCACATCAAGTCTTTTTATAACTTTTCACTGTTAAACAATGCTATGCAGATATATATGGGTATAAATCTGTTATGTTAATGTAAATTTCTAGAAGTACGGTTTCAGGGTCCAAGGATAGAGACATATTGGTAAAGTTTTGGCTACATACTGAATTTTGAACTTTTTTGAACTTTTTTAAATAATTATAAACTCACAAAACATTGCAAAAAAATGGTACAGAGAAGGCCCTTGTACATACAATCTAGCTTCCCCCAATGATAACATTTTATAAAACTGTAATACATTATAAAAACTAGAAAACTGACATTGGCACAATTCAATTCTTGAATTTTACCAGCTTTACCATAATATTATGTTCTAATACTATTAGGTGCATTCCTACCTACTTTCCTACTCTCTCTTCTCCTAATAGTGCCTCTGAAACTCCTTTCTAATCACCTGCAGAGAAAAGGATACAAATATACTTAGTAGACAATCCTCACTTATTGAAAATCAAGAGAAAGGAATACAAGTAAGAATTTCTCACCGTATGTAGAGATGCATGAACCTCGGTTTATTGGCACAGCAAATGGGTAAGTTTCTGTCCTTCTTTCGGTTTTTCAATCGCCCTTTTAGATACACGAGATGAGTTCCAAAAGCCTGGGGTACTCTAACACAAATGAGTGACATTGAATCTCACAGGGAAAAAGAAATCCTTCTCTTAGTTTCCCTTCACTCCTCAGGTTACATCCAGGAGAAAGCCTCAGTTTAGGACTAGTCTTACAGGCCTCCCTAAAACACTTGTTAATTCTCCTTTTTAATACAGCTTGCTCAGATCTTCAGTTCATGCCTAGGCAGACAATGTATTTAGCCAGAATTCCATGATACTGTATGTGGATTTGATTAAATGTGCATTTACTTTCACCTTCAAATTGCAGCAAGTGAAATTAGTTTTCATTTACAGGAGTGTTTGTTTTTTAAAGTTTTCTCTTAAAATAGATTATTTCAATTAAAAAAATGATTTGACATTTGAAAAAGTCTGTGACTATAGCAAAAGGTATAAAGATGGGATGCAAATAACTGAGGTTAGGGATACATTGTGTTAGAGCATTTTGGTCAATAAAAAGCTGACTAACCACATAGCTTAACATGTCTTCTGAGTTTAGAGTGGATTACAGTGAGAACCAGCTGGTTCCTGGATTTTATGAAATCTACTTACCAAAAGGAAGAGAAGGGCCTTACTTCTACTAAGCAGTTATTGTATGTGTGTACGTGTCATCTCATTGACTCCTCGGAAGAACCTGATGAAGTAGGCCCTATTAGTAACTTCATTTTATACATGAGAATCCAAGGAACAAAGGAATGGAGTAATTTACCCAAGTGATCTCTCTAGTAACTGGCAGAGCTGGGTTTCAAACGAGGTCCATTAAACTTCAAAACCATGCTCCTGACTGGTGGTTCAAAACGCTAATCATTAAACTTAAGGACAGTAATTCATCCCCAGAAAAATGTGCAATGGCACTTTGTCCTTGCCAGGAGTTTGAGTCACTTTCCTGTGTCCTGATGATCCCATTGGAATGCCCTAAAGCACACTCTTCACCTGCAAGCATTCCCTAATTAGGAAATCTCAAAGTTAGCTTCCTCCAGGTCTGCCACTGTCAAAGAAAGACTGAAAGTTAGTGGTCAGTCATTCCACCCCTTCCATTCTGCTTTCTCCACATTTCCACCATTGGAGAGGTGCCCACTTTCCACCAGTCACTCCTCTCCCTGAATAATTCTAAAGTTTTCCCAGGATCATTAGAAATTGAAATCCCAAAGGAAATTCACCATCATAGAAGCAGATGACAAAGTTCTATTTAAATACGTCAAACATATATACAAATTTATAAGAGGTACTGAGAGAAGAGCGTAAAGGAGGACAAAGCATACCACCAAGAGTTCAGTGATAGCCAAAAAGTCTTCACGACCCTTCACAACACTTCAACCACCTGACATTTGCTGAAGGATTTGAGGCTTCCAGAGGAGTAACTTTGTGGCTGAGATCCTGAAACCATCAAAGGACTACAAGCCCTTCAAATGAAAATTGCACAACTCTAAAAGGATCATTCTAATAAATAAGTACATTTGATTGACAAAAATTAGCTGTACATTTGTTTTGTGATTTGATTATGAATTTGAGAGAAACTCTTAGTCTGAAACAAAGGCTTACTTACTTGAAGGTCATTTATATTTAAAAGCAGGAGATAGGAATGGAGACCAAGGGAGAGCTAATGCAGTAAATGAATGGTACTGACTGCACAGGAGCTTCTGACAAGCCTTGTGAAATCCTAAGAGCACCTGTCCCAAAAGAAAACAGGGAGACATTTATCCACAAATTCCCTATTAGTCGCTATTAGTCTATGGGCCATACTTCTGGGTGTATGTGACTGTGAAGCTAACTCCCTTGTGCGTCCCATGTTACAACCTCAGAAAAGCTCCGAGGCAGGAAACAAGAGGTACATGGCAGGAGCTTGAAGAAGGGCATTGCCAAGTACCATCACCTGAATTTGCCAGAGCTTCTTCTTTTTAGGTTTTTGTCATAGGGCAGGTGCATTTGTCAGAGAGGAGAGAGAGAGAGAGATACAAAGAGGAGGAAAGTAAGAAATCACCCTCCCTGGGGGTGAGGGACCACACCACAATACCTTCTCCTCTCAGGATTTTGTGCATTCATGTACACATGTCTGGAGTGCTTTGCAGCCACTAGGTCTAGGACTTGAACTGTGGTTGGCCATGTGGGAGTCCAGTGCCTTAACCACCACACCACCTGCTGGCCCCTGTGGTAAAATTTCTTAGCTTAAGTAAGAGGTAGCAAATAGTGTGGTAGTTAAGATGCTGGATCCCACATGGTGGGCTACATGGTTCAAGTCCCAGATCCGGCAGTATGTGTGTGTGTGTGTGTGTGTGTGTGTGTGTGTGGGTGCACTCCCAAATGCCTGAGAGGAGACTGGAAGACAAGGGATTGTGGTGCGGCCATCCCACACGGGGAATGATTTTTCATTTTCCTTCTCTCTATCTCTCTGGCAAACCCACTGGGGGTGAGGTCGGAGGTGGGGGGAAGAGGCAGCACTGAGAAATCCAAAGTGACATTTAAGGAGGTGTCCAATGTAGAATCATTATTAGTTTGATGTATATCTGCTATAATGCAACATTTTAAGAATTTCATTTATTCATTCATTTCTAAGCCCACTTGACAGACATGTATTAAGTATCAACCATATGCCAGTCATTGCGTAAGGTGCGAGAGGCAGAATAGTGACAAGACATTTAAGTTTCTTGCTCTCTTGGAGCTTACAGTCTGTTTAGGGGAGCTGAGCATTCAATAAGCCATTATGAAATATTATTGAATTACAATTGTGATAACTGTTATGGAGAAGTATAGGATGACAAACATTTCATTTACAGAATTCAGGAGGGCTTTCCAGAGGAAGCAGTATGTAAGCTCAACTTGGCAGAAGTAGGGAGTGACAAAAGCAAATGGAGAAGAACAACTAGAAAAAGAAGGAGAGGGACCAGCAATTGGTGTAATGGCTATGACACTGGACTCCCACGTAGTCAATTCTGGTTCAAGTTCTGAACCCGGTGGCTTAAGCTCATGCAGGGTGCATGTGCCTGTATGCCCAAGATCCCTAGAGGAGAATATAGGAGAAGGGATTGCGGTGTGGCCATCCTCCCTGGGGGGTGATTTCTCGCTTTCTGTCTCTTTGTCTCTCTGTCTTTCTGGTGAGCGCACGTGCCCTATAGCCAAAAAAAAAAAAAAAAAAAAAGGAAAAGAAAAAAGAAAAGAAAGAAAGAAGAAAGAAAGAAAGAAAGAAAGAAAGAAAGAAAGAAAGAAGAAAGAAAGAAAGAAAAAAGAAAAAGAAACAGAAAGAAAGAAAGAAAAAGAAGGAGAAAGAAAGGACTGAAAGAGTGCTGGAAACATAAAGATGAACACCAAAAAATATTCTACAACATAACCCTTAAGCTATAAGGAGAAAAAGCTAGTGGAGCTGGAGCTGGAGAGTGGTGAGCGAGGGGAGAGGTGGGTGAGCGTTGAGGCAGAAGAGGAGGCAGAATCCACATCACATAGGACCTGAGAGATCAGAAAAAGGGTTTGGTCTTTGCCCTAAGGTCAGTGGGGACCTGAAGGGTTTTGAACAGAGGACCAAGGGGAACAATATGATAACGTTTGCTTTTATATATATATATAAACTGAGACATAAACACAAGCAGTAGACACTCATAACTATCACAAGGGATAATAGCAGAGCGCAGCCTGCAATCACCATGTAAGTGTACAAACATAAACAGGCGGGCGCATCGACGGGGTGGGACGCTGGGAATCTGGACAGGCGTGAACAGTTCCCTTTCTGTTTGTTTTGAAGAAGTGGATGTGCATTTGATTTGATGCCAAGGTAGCATCTGGGCAAGCCAGGATGAAATCTCTAAAACTCTTCCCCTTCTTCAAAAGCTTCAAAAGAAAATTTCTCCTCAAGATTAACCTCATGTGGGACCAGCAGTTAGCGTAATGGCTATGTTGTTGAACTCCCATGTAGTCAACCATGGTTCGAGTCCCAGACATGGTGGCTTAAACTCACACCGGGTACATGTATGTGCATGCCCAAGATCCCGAGAGGAGATTAGAGGAGAAGGGATTGCAGCATGGCCATTCCCCCTGGGGAGTGATTTCTCGCTTTCTGTCTCTCTGTCTCTCTCTCTCTCTTTCTGGCGAGCACACGTGCCCTATAGCAAAAAAACTGTCAAAAAAAAAAAAAAAGATTAACCTCATGTGTGGGTGGTGTTAGGGACTACCTACAGGGTGTGATCTGAGAGGTGGTAAAAGACCACACCTCCTGTTCAGTGTCTGGGTTTTCCATTAGTGTCTAAAATTCTCTCATTACAATCCTATTTGACTGAATTTTCTTTTTCCTTCAATTTGCCCAAGGGCACATGTGTTTGCCACAGAGAGGGAGAAAGAGAAGGAGGGGGGAAGCATCCCCTACTGGGGTGTGGTCACACCACAGTCACTTCTCTTCTATTTCTTGATCCCGTTGGGATTTGAGGCACATTCACACACGTGCTCAGTGTATTTTTGAAGTCATCGGGGCCACTGAGATTTGAACTGTGCTTGGCCACGTGAGATCCAGCTCCCAATTTTCAATTGCCACATATGCTAAGAAAGGATATCCCAAGACCAGCAGATGACATAATAGTTACATTGTTTAACTCCCATGTAGTCAACTGGGGTTCAAGTCCTGGACCTGGTAGCTTAAAACTCATGTTGGTCACGTGTGCGTGCATGTGCAAAATCCCGAGAGGAGAATGGAAAAGATGGGATTGCTGTGTGGCCATCCCCCCAGGGTGGTGACTTCTTGCTTCCTGTCTCTCTGTCTCTGTCTCTCCAGCAAGCCCACATGCCCTATAGCAAAAAATCTCTCTCAAAAAAAAAAGAAAGAAAGAAAAGAAAGGGCATCCCACTAGATCTATCCTGCATTCCTAAGACTGAGCAGTTTGATCAAGTTTTCTTGAAGAAGTGAGAATTTGATGCTTTTTAAGATCACTGACCACACAGGGGCATGGAGGGTAGACTACAGAGGATCAGAGGAGCCCAGTCTCCTTTTCTCACTTCATCACTTTGTCTCAGGCTGGCCGATGTGTACGAGATGGATAAATTTACAAACGTGTGTGAATTTCTACAGTAAAGATACACAGGTATATTTATAGTATCTGCTATCTGCATGATTTATAACATGGAAAGATTTAATAGTAAGGAACACAGGCACTGGGATTTGATCAACCTGGGTTCCGATCACAGGCTCTGTAACTGTGGGGAAGTTAGAGCACCTGCCTTATGAGGTGGTTGGGAGGGATTAACCTCATGTGTGGGTGGTGTTAGGGACTACCTACAGGGTGTGATCTGAGAGGTGGTAAAAGACCACACCTCCTGTTCAGTGTCTGGGTTTTCCATTAGTGTCTAAAATTCTCTCATTACAATCCTATTTGACTGAATTTTCTTTTTCCTTCAATTTGCCCAAGGGCACATGTGTTTGCCACAGAGAGGGAGAAAGAGAAGGAGGGGGGAAGCATCCCCTACTGGGGTGTGGTCACACCACAGTCACTTCTCTTCTATTTCTTGATCCCGTTGGGATTTGAGGCACATTCACACACGTGCTCAGTGTATTTTTGAAGTCATCGGGGCCACTGAGATTTGAACTGTGCTTGGCCACGTGAGATCCAGCTCCCAATTTTCAATTGCCACATATGCTAAGAAAGGATATCCCAAGACCAGCAGATGACATAATAGTTACATTGTTTAACTCCCATGTAGTCAACTGGGGTTCAAGTCCTGGACCTGGTAGCTTAAAACTCATGTTGGTCACGTGTGCGTGCATGTGCAAAATCCCGAGAGGAGAATGGAAAAGATGGGATTGCTGTGTGGCCATCCCCCCAGGGTGGTGACTTCTTGCTTCCTGTCTCTCTGTCTCTGTCTCTCCAGCAAGCCCACATGCCCTATAGCAAAAAATCTCTCTCAAAAAAAAAAGAAAGAAAGAAAAGAAAGGGCATCCCACTAGATCTATCCTGCATTCCTAAGACTGAGCAGTTTGATCAAGTTTTCTTGAAGAAGTGAGAATTTGATGCTTTTTAAGATCACTGACCACACAGGGGCATGGAGGGTAGACTACAGAGGATCAGAGGAGCCCAGTCTCCTTTTCTCACTTCATCACTTTGTCTCAGGCTGGCCGATGTGTACGAGATGGATAAATTTACAAACGTGTGTGAATTTCTACAGTAAAGATACACAGGTATATTTATAGTATCTGCTATCTGCATGATTTATAACATGGAAAGATTTAATAGTAAGGAACACAGGCACTGGGATTTGATCAACCTGGGTTCCGATCACAGGCTCTGTAACTGTGGGGAAGTTAGAGCACCTGCCTTATGAGGTGGTTGGGAGGATTCAGTGAGATAATCTGTTTAACATCCTAGCACTGGTCCTTGGCACCCAGCAAGTGCTCCGTTATTATGTGTGTGTGCGTTCTTGTGCAAGCATGTGCAGCGGGTGCAGATATGGGTATGTAAGTGAGATAAAGTGTGTTTAAGAATAAGAACCAAGAGTGGAAAGGAGGGAGCATGTGGCTGAGGTCTGCAGCAGGCGTGGCTTTCTAGAGAATAGCCCTGACTAGAAAGGCCACTCCCTGTAGGAGGGACTACCAGGCAGCTGGAAGATCAGCTCAGATTTATTAAGGGGGAAAGAGAGTAAAGCAACAGCAAAGGACCCTCAAGTAAAGGGCTTCTTTATGGCACAGAATCAAGAGTGATTAATTAAAGAAGACAGGCAAACAGAATGGGATATGATGATGGCAAGGCTCAAAGGGGAGATTAAAAAGAAAAGAGTTGAGGGACCAGGTGGTGGCATGGTGTTTGGAGCACTGGACTCCCCTGTGGCTGACTGTAGTTCAAGTCCCAGGCCTGGCAGCTGGCTCTCTCACTTTCCCTCACTCTCCATCTCGGTCTCTCTGGTGAGCGCATGTGCTTATATAGGAAATTAAAAGTAATAATAATGATAAATAAAATTAACTAAAGAATTCTTTCGTTAAAAAAAAAAAAGAGAGAGAGTTAAAATGGTTTCTAAATCAACATATGTCAAAATTAGGCCCCAGTGATCAGAAGACAAATAACTTCATCTACTCCATCCTAAAGTTCTCCCTTGTTTTGAGATGCATGCTTGTTTGATTTTTCAGACCTGACATGGAAGAATTTTGAAAAAGTTTTTAAAGTACAACAGTGCTTTCAGACCTCTTGGTCCCTTCTTAAGATTTTCCCATAGAACTGTATGGAAGTGCTTTCTGCATAATGAAGAATTATGATCTTTACGTTGAGAAAGAAGATGCAGTTTTAAAAATCCATCAGATTCTAGTCCCAGGGACCAGCAGTTGGTGTAATGGCTATGTTGCTGGACTCCCATGTAGTCGACCTTGGTTCACGTCCCAGGCCCGGTGGCTTAAAACTCACGCCGGGCGCATGTGTGTGCGTGCCCAAGATCCCGAGAGGAGAATGGAGAAGGGATTGCGGCGTGGCCATCCCCCTGGTGGGTGATTTCTCGCTTTCTGTCTCTCTGTCTCTCTCTATCTGTCTGGCGAGTGCATGTGCCCTATAGCAAAAAAAAATTTAAAAACTCAAAAAAAAAAAAAAGATTCTAGTCCCAGTTCTGCCCCTAACTCACCAGGCAATTGCAAAATATCTCTTGATCTCTCTGATCACAGCTGCCTCGCCTGCAAGAGAAATTGATTGGTCAGTTTTGGTCCTTCTCTTTTGTTGTCCTGCTATCCTAGTTAGATTTAGCTCTTGAATCAGCTCTTCTCTTAAAGTCACCCGACGCCACAGTAGTTAAAAGCACAGACCTCCCTTCTGCTAGCTGCAACTCTGGGATGCCATATTGACTCTGTGTCTGAGTAACATCGTCTGTAAAACAAAGGGAAAGAAGAGTTGTGTAAATCCTTGGGTTGCTAAAATGGATAAGTGGCTTTATATAGGTCAAGTATTTAGAACTGAGGGCACGGATAAGGATTTCCTTGGTGTTAAGTAATAATATTTACTACTCAGATAGGTACCTTTATAACTTTCCAAGAAAGGTCCAACTGATAAATCAAATAATAGAAGTATAAGCATTCTTGGAGGATACGAGACAACTGAAGTGGGGAGTGGGCAGGAGGGGAGCTGCGGATCACTGCTTTTGTATTTTTTTAAAAACTCGTCTGTGCTTCCATTTTCAAAGTATGTGTATGTACACAACACTATTTGTTGAATTTAAGGAGAAGGAACGAAAATACCTGTCACCTATCAATATTTTCACCGAAATATCCCTCTCATCTCTCAAGGTGGGGTCTGCCTACAATGTTGAAGGAGCAGTACTTTCTAAGAGGCTGCTTATACTGGTTTTGTTAGCTACCATTAATATGTGTGCCCTTCCTAGGAAATTCATATGAAAGCTTCTAATACACACAATCACCTTAGCACGTTCATAACCAAGTGTGTTTTTACTTTTTGGATAAGAGAGAATATGGGAAAGGTGAAAATTTAAACTTCCTAAACACTTGGCCTTAGGGGCTAGTTTATATTTTGCCTCTTACAATCTTTTCCCAGAAACCGACTCAGTTACTGAAAGGAAAGATCAGTAACAGTGAACAGAAAGAAAAGCGATGCCGGTCGGCAGCAGCCCAGCGGTGAAAGTGTTAACAGGGCTGGGTAAGGCAAGCCCTGAAATGAGTAAGACTGGAGTTGTTAAAGTTTTCAAAGCGGTGGCAGCAGCGGCACTTGGGGAAAAGGACGCCAGCTGAGAGAGAGCGCCCTGCAGAGCGGAGGAGGGGGCTGAGTGGCCTCAGCAGAGGTCACGAGCACAAGGTTAGTGGCCCCCATGTACCTCCCCAGCCTGCGGACGTGCTGACATCCTTGGAGAGGAGTCTCAGGAAAACCGGGCGCCATCTCTGGTCCCCCTGTGTCATGTCTGCCCTGCTTGTTCCTGGGGCCACCAGCCCTCCTGCCAAAGCTCCCTGGCTGCTGCGTTCACCCAAGACTTGGCACTTGTGAGGGACAGCTGACCTCTTCCCAGGAGACTTTTCTAAACTGGAGACTCCCTTTCAGACATGAAAAAGAAAACTGTTTCTGGAACAAAGATTGCTTTCAGACCACACACACAGAGAAACACACACACACACACAGCCCTACCTGTACGCGCTGCTCCATCTTGGTTTTCACAGGTTATGACCACAATCCAGAATTCCTATCTGCTTCAGTTGAAACTGAGAACAATTGTCAGAGTAACTGAACAGGCTGTGCGACTTTACCTTGTGGGAGGATTATTGTCTCTGAGGCTAAGATAATTAAGGTGAGGAGACAAAAAAAAAAGCTTTCTAGTACTCTGGCCTGCAGTTAAGGCAAAACAATTTTCAATTACTCAAACAAGAAAATGGGAGAAGGTACATTATGAAGTAAATGCTTCTATGGCTGTCTGAGATTCAGATAGACTTACTTTCCTAGGCTTATCTATGTAAGATGCATAGATAGATAAACACAAATCTAGAGAAAGGGGACAAACAAGCAGATAATCTTGCAGAAATTCCATTCAAGGGGGCTTTGAGTTGAGAGTTGAGGGCTTTGAGTTGAGGGTTGAGAGGTGAGACTGACAGTGCTTCCCCGGGAAGGGAGAAGGCACCCTTCTGCGCCTGGCAGATAGGAGTTGTGGCCACTTCAGGGCGGGCTCTGCCTTCCTGCCCTGCCATCCAGCAGGAGGCAAAGACCAGCCAGTGGCTGAGCTGCGAGTTCCCTCTGATCCTTGCGGCTGGCAGGGCAGGCACGAGTCGAATCTTATACCTGCTAGTACTGAATCAGAATGAGTCATTTGAAACTTGGGTGCCGGAACAAAGTGCCTGCAAACCGCCTTATGAGACACTGCCTGCATGTAGGTGGGATATACCTCTCAGAGCAGTCACATTCTTGTCTTCCTTCCTTTCTCCTTCCACCAGGCAGGAGTTCTGACGCTCTCAAGAGACCAGCTCTGCCCCTTGGCTCAGCTAACCCTACAATGTGGACCCTGCTCCTCCAAGTCGGGATTGGAGTTTCAAAATAAAATGGATGATTTGACGTTACTTGATCTTCTGGAGTGTCCAGTGTGCTTTGAAAAGCTTGATGTCACGGCCAAAGTCCTCCCTTGCCAGCACACCTTCTGCAAACCATGTCTACAGAGGATTTTCAAGGCCCACAAGGAACTGAGGTGCCCCGAATGCAGAACCCTGGTGTTTTGCAGCATCGAGGCGCTGCCAGCCAACCTGCTGCTGGTGCGTCTCCTGGATGGCGTGCGCTCAGGCCGGAGCTCTGGCCGAGGGGGCTCCTTCCGCAGGCCCGGCACGCTGACTTTGCAGGACGGCAGGAAAAGCAGGACCAGTCCCAGAAGTCTGCAGGGCAGCCCTTTCAGGCTGGTGCCCAATATCAGAATCCACATGGATGGGGTAAGAAAGACTTTATTTGTTAATAGCATGTTCACTTACAAGTTGGATTTGTGTCTATCAGGAGCTGGGGATTAGCTCCGTTTAGTGCCATGTCTGCGTGCTGACCAAGATTCCCCAGTGATAAGTTCTGTGGGCAGTGATCATGGAAGAATCCTGAGCCTATCTAACCCTCTAAGAATTCTTCTGAACACTGCAAAAGCTCCCTAGGTTCTCTTACTTTTTGTCCAGAGGGAAAGCGTTTTCGTTATATTTTTGGTTTTGCACTTCTGCTGTTCCGTGTCCAAACCAATGCATGGGAAACAGAGGGTGGAAAAAAGAGAAAGCAAAGCCAACTGCTTGTTGCTTTGGAGATCTCTGAGAACTTTCCAAATGTCAGGATGCATTTGAATTTTACCCAAATTCACCCTCCCACCCCTAGTCATAAAAGCTATTATGACAATGCTCATTCATAATCTGTTCTAAACTCTTAAGACATTTGATGCCATGATGGTGCCAGGGACGCTTCTGTGTGGGTGGGCAGATTGATAGCAGAGACTGGGCCACACGATACAAGAGATGTGTATGGGAGCCCTGCAGATGTGTCTCACTGCACGAAATGAAAAAACACAGAGAGAATACTCATCAGAGGCTGCAATAGAAAAGCAAACGGACTCAGTGGAGCTGCAGAGGAGATCACCCAGCAATGCTTTTTCAGTGTAGATAATGCCCTACAAGCACACCCGGAGGACTTTATCAGTCCTGGCGGTGAGATGCTGTATAAGGGCACGCCTTGAGAGAAGGACACAGCCCTTGTGAGCCAGCAGGATTATTTGCACTGTCACCCCTGGAGTCAGAGTGCCAGAGTGGACACAGAAAACTGCGGCTCAGGTCACTGGCACTCTTGGAAAATCAAAGCTACATTTTCTGTAGTTTTACCTTAAGTGGGCTTTCATGCTGGAGGCGGAGTCTCACGACTCCCCACTCTGGAAAGTAGCAGTGGGTGGGAGGATCTTGTTTTGACTCCTTCTCCACTCAGGAAAAGAGGTTTATGATGTGCACTCAGAACAATTTTCCTTCCAGGAGCTCACCCCTCCCTTTGTTTGCTGCACCTTTAAGTCACCCATGTAGTAGGGATGTGTGCAACCATTCAAAAAATGAGAGCGGGAAGAACTGGGGCATTGTGTGATTTCTTCAGTGCAGGTGTTTTATTGCCATTGTGCTTGTATGTGTGAAGACATTCCAGAAAAGGGCTTGGCATTCCCCCTTTAAGTCTCTCCATTAGCCCTGATCTAGTCATCAATCAGAATCCACTTGCCTGGAAAAGGTGGAGTGGGGGCAGGGAAGCAAACTTTTCTCAAACATGTCTTCTTTCTAGAGAGCGGGGCTTTACCTTTGAGTGGACAAAGCCCCCTTGAATTCCTAAGACCCAGCACCCTCCCTGCTCCACCATCCTGCAAATGTCTGATTTCCCTTTCAGCAGAGTATAATCACTCACTAAGGAAATGCTGCCAGACAGGGCATAGGCAAGTTTCTTATCAGCTTCGAATATTTCTGTTCAGGTTTTCAACTTTATTATGTGGCCATACTGCTAAGAGAAAGCATTAGCAACAAATAGATCCACAGCTACTACATTTTTGAACCCTAGAAGATTCCCAGGACACTTCTAGCACAAAAACATTGAGAAGAGAGCTGGTCATACCAAAGAGACGGTCATTAAGATACTGAGTGTCCCTGGAGCTTTTCTCCGGGGACTTGTAAGCTCAGACTACAGTGCCAGTGATGCATCTGTGCTCGTCCTCCAAGCTGCTCTGAACCAAGTCCTGTTATGAAGCTGAAATGCAGCACTAAGCCTCTAAGGGCTCCTTCTTTCTGGCAGGACCTGGGTTAGTAAAAATACTTTGCAAAAGAGCAGAGCTGGAAGCAGAACTGGAAGGAAACACCCCTGTTTCCTTCGTTTCCTGAGTTACCCTTTATTGAAGTAGCTCATCACATTCTTTAGCCTCAGTTGATATGGCTATGAACAAGCCCTTGTCTGGATATAAACATGGCTGTTATTCTGCAACTTGTCTATTCCCAAAGAAATAACCATCTCCTGAAAGTATGAATGCAACTGTGCATCCTCAAAGTAAGACACCTGAAGATTTCTGGATGCCACATTCTGTCCTGCTAGAGAAATAGACTTGCATCTTTAGTCAAATCCTCCCAGTTACTTGCCCTCTCTGCCTCAGTTTCTCCAATCTAATCAACAGCTAATAACACTTGCTCCTCAGCTTCCTCCAGGATATTGTGAAAATGACCTTTGCAACACACTCATATTGCCTTAGAAGACATCTGCTATGTAAATGCAATGCACCATCATTATAACTAATTCAGACTTGCCCTGTGACTTTGGGCAAGCCACTTAAATTTGCTGGGTCTCAATTAAAAGTTCTGTAAAATGGGAAAATGTATTGTAAAAACAGAGAACCATTGTGAGGCTTATCTAATTAGCATTTGCAAAGTACTTTGAGAGCCTTAGATGAAAGGCACTTGGAAGATCATTATCATAGTAAACATTATTATTGACTGTTTATTGTGCCCTGCCATGCATGAGGCATTCTACAAAACACAGAAGGTATTATAGCCCTTGCAGGAGAGTGCAATAGGTATTATTATTGAACTTGATTCTATGACGTGTCCAGACTAGGGTCATACTAAGTATAAAGTAGTCCCCTAAGAGGGCACAAGTAGCCTGTTGTCACAATGTGCCATTTTATAAAACACCTCTTTCAGAAGACTCGCTGATAACCTGACACTGAAATAATTCATTGAATGTCCTGTCCCTGAGATTTTTAAGCCCAAATCCTATTCTGCTCACCTATGCTCATCTGAAAAATAAGCTCATCGTGATCTTTCTGTTGGCTCAAAGAGGTCTGATACATCTGTGCCAGCCGGTATGCTAGGGTGGAACCCATAGTCACACCTCCTGGTGCCAACCCAAGAAAGAGAAAAAACAGCCTGTTGTGCCTACGTGTCCAAAACCCTCCCAAGCCAATTGTGTAAAAAGAAAACTTGAGAAATGGCTGAGGGTTTTTATAGCATTTAATTATTTCAAACCAACAGGTAAGATCAACAGATTCCTGGAGGACCCCCAACAGCACAAATCCCATTGGTATTTATTCCTTCCCATAATGCCACCAAACCAAAGGAACGTTGGCAAGCCATTGAATGGATGGTGGGTTTCTGAATAGCTAATCTCTCTCTTCCTCACTCACACTTTAATATTTCTCAATTAGGACAGGTAGTGAAGCAAAGAAGGTAAGGATGGGCGGGTTGGAGAAATATCAAAATTGGGTTTGAGAAATATCAAAATTCGAATCCCGAATCTGCCCCTCCATGGTTGCATACTTTGGGTGAGTCACTTAAACCTCAGGGCCTCCCATTCCCCATCTGTGAATTGGAGTTAATAGTAGTTCCTACCTCAGAGGGCTGTTGTGAGAAATAAATGAGATGATTCATGTCAATTAGCTCTGAGTACAGTGACTGGATCGTATTAAGTGTTCAATAAATGTTAGCCGTGATTGTTACCAAAGTGACTCAGCACTTTCCACTCTACACTACACGCCCTCCTTTACCCCCTTATAAATCAAGTGCTATCCGGAGATAGTGCTTGCTACCCTGGTTTCTGGCTTGTTTTGTTTGCCTCCAGATGACCTGTGCCTGTTCTTCCCCCATGTGCTGGCTTTGCAGCTCACTTTCAGGGTCTATAAGAACTATGAGCTGACTGGGACCAGCAGGTGGCGTGAGGGTTAAGGTGCTGGACACTCCTACATGGCCAACCACAGTTCAAGTCCCGGACCTGGCGGCTTCCTTTATCCCTTTCTCTCTCTCTCCCTCTCTCTCTCTCTTTCTCTCTCTGTGTGTGTGTGTGTGTGTGTGTGCGCGTGTCTGGTCAAATTAAAATACATGAATGAATAAATAAAATTAAATAAATAATAATTTTTAAAAAAATAAAAGAACTACCAGCTGATTCTAGGGGAAAACTCCCTAACAAAATTCACTCCCCCAAAACGCAAGTCCAAAGGAACACTGTACACAGACAGGCATCTGGTTGGCTTCCCTTCCATCGCTGACTTCAGTAAGTTTTCTACCTTTCATTCCCTCCCACCTTTCACTCTACTCCCCATCACAGATGTGACCATGCTGGGCCTGGCAGGGCTGGACTTTCTCTTCATGTTGTTAAGCATCATACACATTCCTGTCTTCCTCGCCCCGTATCAGCGAGAACACACCTGCCACCTCCAGCATGCAGAGCAGGTGGCTTTGCCCTAGAAACCTTTTCAGCGGGTGTTGCACTGAGGGTGAAGAAATGAGGTCAGAAAGCACATTGGGGAGTGGAGGATTGGTAGAAACCAGAAGGTGGTCCAGCCCTTTCCTGAGTTTCAGATGGGGCGTTCTGCGACAAAGCTGTGATAAAGCTGTGACATGGAAGGTGGTTTTTGCTAAATTTGCAAGGGGATTAAATTCAGGCACCTGAAAACAGCAGGCATCTGCCACCTGGGTGAGCAAGGACCATATGTGGCAGGTGGAGGAAGACATAAAGTTAGGGGCTGAGGTTGAGAAGTCAGGAGACCCATATGGTTCTCCAGTTTCACAGACATTTTGCTAATGTTTTTTAAAAACACAAGGCCCCAAATTGGCCCTAGTTCCAACCTCCCTAGATGCACTTTCCTTTCATTGCTTACTGTGGTGGTTAAGAGCTTAGAGTTAAATGGAGCTGAGTTTATGCTGGAATTCAATCATTTGTTAGCTGTAAGTACTTAGGCAAGTCACTTAACCTTTCTGATCCTTAGTTTTCTTATTTGCACAATGGAGATAATAATGGTGAATATATATCATAAGGCTACTGTGAGGTTAATACAAGATAATATATAGTTTTGCACAGATGCCTGGTGCATAAGAGATGCTAATAAATGTCAGCAACGGAAAATCACAAAACAGTCACCATAGAAGAGAAAGTCTGCTGTGTCGAATTAAACTCT